CTTTGTCTCCTCAGCTCGGGTCGGGCCTGCGCTGCTGCAGGGAGGCCGCCCGGGCCCGGCGAGCCGAACCAATGCTGGACCTGGAGGTGGTGCCGGAACGCTCTCTAGGGAACGAGCAATGGGAATTCACGCTGGGTGAGTATGGGATCCAGCGTCGGGCACCCATTCGCAGGTTTTTACTTCCCTCCGGGCCCTTCCCTGGGCCGATCTCTCCTGCATCTGATCTCTGTCCCTCACGCCCCTACGTCCTGGCTTGTCGCCTGTTTAGTCCCCTCAGTTCTTGGTGCTCCAGGCATTATCCGCTTGATAATCGGTCTTCCAGCCACTGAGGCCCTCGCCTCGGGCCTCAGCAGAGCCCCTTCTGGGGCGGTGGGACAGTAATAGTAGTTGTAATAATAATAATAGTTGACGCGCCCAAAACAATGCCCCACCCTGCTCTTTTGAACATAGTTTACCTGTAGTAACCCTCACTGGAGGCTGAGGATCGGTATTATTGTTATTGCCATTTTAAACACTAAATAGCTAAAAAGTGGCTGACACTCCTGGTCACCACAGTGGTCTGTGGTCTGCCTTCCTCTGCTTTTCTGGACTGTGGGTTTCCTGTTTTGCAGGAGAAACCTAGGGTCAGATCCTATGCATAATCAGATGGTAAGGAATCTAGTCAAGGGAGTTGAGTTTGTGTATATTAAAGGAATTTTATTTTTTTCCTTCTCTTATGAAATGCAGTTTATATGTGAGAGTATAATCCTAAACCCAGATATGAGAGAGTTAAAGGTTGAATGAATAGGAGAACTTTGTGGAAGACATGGTTTGTTTTTCTGTTTGTTGTGGAAGACATGGTTAGTTTTTGTTCGTTGGCTCAGCTTTGTCACCGGCATCACTGCCCTTTCTGTGTTTAAGGGTTTGCATTCAGTAACTCCAGTGTGTTTATTTTGATGTTCCAGCCCTAGGAAAAGGGGGTAGAGCAGATGTTGCTGCTGCTTGTTTGTGCAGGCCTGAACTTTTGTCACTCCAGTATGGACTACTGGACTGAGTCAGCCATAGAATTATAGCTCATCCTTGAACTTGGAGAACTAGTATCTATGGAGACAGCTATGGAGAAATCAGGCATTACAGATGGCTGGTGGTGCCCTAGTGGTGCTCAGTAGCTACCGGCCTCCTTTGGATTGTAGAAGCCAGTTTTATAGAGGGGTCTTAGCCAACTTCTCTTATAACTTGCACCACTCCTGCAGATTTCTTCCAAACTTTCTGCTGTTTTGAAATGCTCTAGCCTCTTGTGAAGCACCAAGAGCTTAGTTGGGAAGCTAGTGATGCTGGGCTAATGTTGTTTGGCTTCTAGTTAATTTCTTTCGTGTGGTCCCCTTGACAGCTTCTCTGCATGCCAGGACCTCCCCTGGCTGGATAAGAACCACAGCCATAGCTTCAAACTGCTTAATAGTATAATTGTGTTGTCAGTCTCTTTGTTCAAGGACCCTTTTTCAAAAGTAGTAACTAGGATATCGAGATCGGGATTTCTAGAAAATAGAGTCAGACAGCTAGGCTTCTGCTTCCGTCAACTGTTGTCTCAGCCCTATAACTGACTTCTAACTCTGTCAGTTTCCAAGAATTAAGGGTTGGAGTAATTTTTTCAGACTATCTAAATAACAACCAAAGACAGTGAGGGTGTGTTTCTGTACATTAGGCCAGAGTTGCACTTTGGAGACAGCTTATTAAGGGAGCCTGAGTATTTATTGATGATTCTCCTTGTGGATCTTAAAATCTGTATTTTAGGGACCAGCAGGTGGCGTGATGGTTAAGGTGGCTGGACTCCCACAAGGCTGACCACAAGTCCTGGACATGGCAACTTGCTTTCTCACTTTCCTTCTTTCTTGCTGTCTCTGGCCAACTTCAAAAAACTAATATATATAT